TTTTTGCTTTATGATCATACATTAAATTACTAAATGTAAAATTTACTAGTTTAACAATATTTTCAGATTTATAGTCATTTTGTATGTTTTTGTCAAGAATCAGAAATAATTAAAGTGTTTAAGAAATTTTTCTAAGAAATGACACAAGGAGTTTCATAAAAAATCTATGTACATATATATATGTGCATATGTATAAATATATATAAATACGATATCAAAAATTTTTAGGAATGTACAGATGATACAATAGCCCACCTCATATTCACACTCAACTTGAACATTGGTACAGAAAAGTAACCAGTAAAAGACAATTATACGGGTGAAAAGACCAAATAACTAAAAAAGGTACATGAGCAGATAAGCTCTGTAATGTTTCTAAATATGTATTTGGAAAATTTCAAAATGATTTTGACAAATGCTTACCTGTTCATAACATAGATATAATAAGTTGGGCTTTAAAAATTGCAAAAGAAGTCAAACTATCTTCGAAACAATTTAATGCTTCTGACAAATAGATCCACAATTTCCAAAAGCAGAATAACATTGTTTCAAGAAAAACAAGCAAGCTTATAACACAAGTACAGACTTCGGGCAAACAAGAGTTATTGGATGAGGCGTCTGCTTTTGTTTCTTAAGTAGGATCAGAAATTTCTCGTTTAGGACCAGGTAATGTTCACAAAATAGATCAATCTAAAGTAAACTGCACATCACACGCCGGTGGAACTCTATAATTTATAGGTAAAACAAAAGTGGCATTGCATAGTCATTTAATTCTTTGACAGACAGTTACACTATTCAACCTTTTGTTTCTACAGATTGAGTTTGAAAATCTCCAATTTTAATGGTTTTGCAAGAAACTAATGATGTATTTGGACCATTAGTAACAAAAGGTATGTACAAAGCTAAAAATATAGTAGTTTGCATTTCAAAATCTAAAAAAATGGCTTCTGATCTAACGTCAAAATGGTTTGAAGAGATTTATCAACCTACTGTTGGACATGAAACTGATGTATGCTTTAATTACTGGACTGGTCAGAGCAAATAACTGTCCAGAAATACAAATCAAGAAACGAAAAAAGTCAAAGTATCTACGATATTTGCAGCAACTACTGGTTTTGCCTTACCACTCAATATATATAGATTTTGTCCATGGAAAAACTGTTTACGAAATTCATCAGATTTATTAGTTTGACATAACTATGATATCAACTTACATTAACGAAATAATATTCTAAAAGTTCAATCATTAATACATAATCAGTTTTTATTACCACGGTATGTAAATATATTTAAGTATGCTTGGTGCAAGTGCGGCTATATTAAGGAGAAACCAATAAAGGTTGACCCACCAGTTGATTTTCGTTTAAATAATGATTATGAGACATGTGAAAAATGCAACAATATTGCAGTTATCAAATGCGGATGGTGTGCAGATTCTCTGTGTATGCAACACTTTTTTGCAATAACTGAAAAAACTTACCCACATTACGATGAGAAATACGTAAAATAATTTTTAAAAATCCAGCCAATCTAATAGCTGATAAATAGATGTCATCAATAACCGTACGCAGAAGTAATATCAGAGCAATTGGGTTATGTTTGAACAAATCAAATTTTATCGATTCGTGAGGGACGAGGGGACTTACGCTAATCAAGCATTTTGAACGTGAAAGGCAAGGAGACTCACGATAAGGGTGGTTTGTAACGGTCAGAGGGCTTAGATATATTTTAAATATATAAATTAACTTAAAAGTAGATAATTAGATAAGTGATTTTGAGAAGTATAATCAAATTATATTAAGAAAATTCAACGATTCAGCTAACTTTACCTTCTACCAGATGGATTGTCCTACTTGTGATTTTATATGGATGATTTCTAGGGGTTAGATGAAAAAGGGGGTAAGTGGGAAGGTGGTTTACCCACACAGGTGTGAAATTTAATTATTTTTGTAAAAACTAGCAATTACAAATGTTGTTTTTACGGTGAGGTGGGTTAGCCTGCTAGTAGTATGGTAAGGGTAGTTTATGGGGTCTTGGAGAGGTATGTCTTGAAATATATAAGGTTATTTTAAGGGTAGATAATTAAATTTATGGTAGCTGATCTTATCATTAGCTTTAAAATGTATAATTAAATTATCTTGCGAAAAAAAGGGCTCAACTCATAATTACTAAAACTAGGTGGATTAGCTGCTAGTGGTTTGGTAAGGGTGGTTTTCAGGGTTTATATGAGCTAGCGAATAGATAGTTAGGTGATTCACCTATCAATGGTATGGAATTAAATCATTTCTGAAAAGCTAGCAATTAAATTTGTTGTCCCTTATAGTTACTTGGTTAATGCACTGGTAGTTTGTAAGCGTAGTTTACAGGAGTTAAGCGGTTGGTGTATATTTAAAAATATTTAAGGTTGATTTAAGGGTACGGAATTAGGCGTGTGATTTATGGAAGCAGAATTAAATTATTTTTAGAAAAATAAACATTTCAAACAGCTTTTTTCAGGCTTAGGGATTAATCTTCTTATGGCTTATTAGGGGTTGTTTCTACTTTTCACGATCAATTAGGGTAGATAGAAAAATACACGGGTCTGATATTTTTTATTGTTCTATTACCTCACCTAATTTGATTTAAATCGGTGAGTGACAGTTGGGTAGGGTTACTTGTAAGTTATATATCAACAACAATAAATGAAAGTTAGAAAATTTGGTCAAAAGAGAAATGTAACTTAATTTAATATAGTTAGAGATTAGAAAGAGTTATCTAAGGCATAATGCTATAGTAAAAAGTATGTAGAAAATTGTCTATTAGCAGATGATAGTGATATGTATGTAGCGTGGCGATATAAAGAGGAAAAGGGGCTTTCTTCACCATGTACGAACATTGCTGTAGCTGCATATATGATAGCTTAAGCACATTTAAGACTGATCTCATCATTGGAAAAACTTAATACAAGAGTTTTTTATTATGATACAAACTTAGTAACAGCTACAAGAAATAATCAAACTGTCAGTAAATGTCAACCACCTACTGGCTCGTTATAAGGGCAGTTAATAGATTAATTAGAGGTGGATGGTGAAAGATTATTTATTAAGACCTTTGTTTCAGGAGGTACTAAATTCTTTTTATACCACGTGCGTGCAGCTGCTAGGAGGTTTTACATTGTATGCAATGTAAAGGGTATTAAATTAAATTACGAAAATTCATTTTTAAAATTTTGATTCTATTGTAACTATCATCGAACGATGAAATCAAAAGAATGGAAAATTGTTTAACACATTAAAAATTAATAACACGATAATTAGAACACCTAACTTGCATGAAGTAGCAACGCGTAATAAAGAAATAACGTGTGCGATAGTTTTAAAAAAGGGATGGCTTAACTCGGAAACGTTATCGTATTTTTTTTTATATAAAAAGAGCATTAGAACATATAAATTATTTTTGTGATAGAGAAAGTACGTACAATCAAAAAAGTTTGTGTAAAAGAAAATTGTGATTGCTTTCAGTACTGTTGTCGTGTGCCAACCAGTATGTATTATCCTCCCTATCAATCTTCTTTAAAAGAATGAGCATGGCACTCTTTATTAGGTACGCTTGTTACATTCAAAGCAGTTGGAAAAGTCAAACTGTATAATGAAATGTATGAAAATTTATTTGAGCTTGATTTTATTGAGATGTCCTTCGAATAGATCAGAGTGTTTAGGTATTTTAACGAGTCAAACGTCATATGAAGACTTTGATAACCCGTTGAAAATTTGGTACTCGATGATCAGTTGAATATTGTACCGTATAATAAGCTGTTAGATACACATGTTTTTTTTAATATCAGAATTTATTTTTAATCAAATTCGACGTTTGGATAAACGTGATGACTGCGTAATTTATAAATCTCAAAACGGTCATTCGATAAAAAAAGCATACTACAACGAATTAATTGACGTTGCTAAATACAAACCTAGACAAAAATTATTTGAAAATGAATTCTAAAAAAAAAAATTAATTTTATACATATGAAAACTACTTGATTAAACTTACTTGACACCTTAATTTATTTGTTATGGATTTATTAAGAACGATTAAAATATACTGTTTTTTATCAAAATGTTGATGTTTTGAAAAAGTTTGTAAATTTCCCGAATGTGTACGCTTTCTAACTTTCATTAATAAAATAAATTATCGTGGTTCTGTAGAGTATAACGATAGTTTTTAAGAATTTGAGAATATTACTATTGCTCAAATTTTATTTATAAATAACATATATATAACAAAAGATATTTATGTGATAGTAACACAGGATCATAATTATCAAAATAACTGGTGTGCGTCTGTTAGTATGCACTTGTGATTAAGACAAAACATAGTGTAACAATAATTTTAAAAAATTTTTTAATAAATAAAGATTTTTTCCAACATAAATGTGAAACTTTTTGTTTCCCTACTTTTATTTTTTCTTACAAAACTTTGAACTGAACATATATTATACCTTTGCTGTAAAAGAAGAAGCAACGATGGTTATGATTCTGAAAAAGTAAGTCACTTACTTTGTTTACCTCTTTGACTCATAGCATAACCATTTTTATGATATTTTAAAAAAAGGGTTGGTTAAGATAAAAAGAGAGAGAGAGAGAAAGAAGAAGAGAGAGAGAGAGAAGGAAAGAACTGTTACAAAAAAGTTTGCGAATATATTATTCTAATGCAGTTGATCTTATACCTGTATTTTAAATGGTTAACTCAATCATATAAGGAAAATGTAGCGATATTCTGTAAAAAGATATAATAAATGTATATTGCTACTTATTTTTTACTTAGTATTTCATGTTATCTACAAGTAAAAAGATAAAACACCGTACTATAAAAAAGAAGACCCCACTCCTTAACAGGGAGAGCGAGGAGAAAAGCAGAAATCGTTATTTTTGACGCTAAAAAAATTGACAACCAACCGATACCAGTAACCAAAAATCTTGTCCAGAGAATAAAAATAAAAGAGAGTGTAGTAGCTTATCATCATGGGTTTCATCATAGACATCCAAGGCTTTGTGACTCTGACAGGTATTTTATACAAAAAGAAGTTGCAGTGGTATCGATACATGTAAGCATCATCGGTCATTGGTTAATTAATCTACCGCTTCCATTTACAGATTTATCTTACAGTATAAAGGAACATAATAATCACCGCACCATAGGAGCTCACTAGAGACAGTGGTCTAAAAGTGATATCACAATAAGTCATTTAAAACATTGTTTTATTACACATAGTAAAGATCTCAAGAAAATTAGTATGTATGGTAATGATGGAGCCAAATTTATAAATTCGTTATCAAAACGAGAGGTTCACGACTTATCGCAAATTCATACTTCATTTAAAATGCATAAAAATAAAAAATAAAATTGCTTTACTAATATGCCTGATGCATACGCAAAAACTTTTTAAAGACAAACAGTTATTTTGTGCACTACATAGAGCGTACTTGTTAAAAGAATGGATCATCAAGACTTTACCTCTAAAAGCATTATTGCCAGATAGTGATGCATACGCCTTCCAAAATCTTTAAAGTAAAAGTCCACAACTACCATTTTTTAGTTGTCAAGTCGTAGTGGATAGTATTAGTGATAATAAAAAAAATAATCAATGAATTGTACGTGTAGATTTTTAAAAAGATATTGCGAATAAACGTTGTAATTAATATTTAAGTTTTTTTTATAGAGGCTTCCTATCTAAAATTTTGTTTACAAAAAAATTATATACTGATAAATATTAGGAATAAGGAGTATATAAATAAAAAATGTAAGATGTAAGTCCTAAAAAGATCGAGTTCAATCAACCTTTTACACCAATAAAACCACTAACCAACTGAGCTATTCAGTAGTTGCATCTTCCAAAATCTGAATAAGATACTACGACAACTTTGTAAGTAATTGAAGTATACGAGTCAATTATTTTCGTAGTTGGATACCAAGTCAGGTTATGATTTTAAGATGCATGCATATTCCATTCACCCTAGAGTGTAGTTAAGATGAGAAGAAAGTGGCGTTTGACATTTACATAGAGACAAATCAGCTCACACACGAAAATCGAGTCAACTCATGCGTGGATGTATATCTATGTATGTAAATCTTCATATATAAGTTTTAAAAATATCATTAGTATGAAAAATATTGTTATAATGGATACTTGCTGACAACACCCGTATATAAGTATAACGTGCAGTCTAACTGGCTGTAAAAAAACAGTTTTTGTTGAAAGATTTTAAAATTATATTTACGAAATGGCAAATGCTATGTTTAGGTGTATTTCATTTTATTATGCAAAGTGTCAGAATGGTTAAAAAAAGTGAGGATTTTGTGAAAAGTGTACGGTAAATAGAATTTTATGAAGGATTGCAAAAACCATCAGACAATTAAAATGATTCTTATCTATCTACATGTACATATGCAATTTTTTTTAACGCTAAACTGTGTGGTTGTCCGTACAATATCTTAGAATCATGAATATACTAATCTATCATCGTGTGAAAGCTTGCGCGTGGTGTACACATAAGTTTGCGCGTGATGCACGTGTACGATCACACGTTTATGCGTACGCTTGCACGTGGTGCATACGTAAGCTTAAATGTATGCATTGCTTGCTGTTGCATAAGTAAGCTCGTGCGAGTATGCGCACCTTCACGCGTATTGCATGTGTCTGCTCACGATTGCACAAGTACACTCGCGCAAGTACGCGTGTGCTTGTACACGAGTAACTATAAGCATGAATGTTATTATATATGAGTGTACAGGTGTATACGCAAGTGTGTGCATAAGAGATCAAACATGTACACATACATTCATACATACTCATACATAAAGCGCTTAAACCCTTGTCTAATAGCAAGAGTAAGAGAAAAAAAGATAGAGACAGAGAGAGCAGTCCTTAGAGCCAGATTTACATAAAACGCATCGGCCCCTGTTGCAGTATCGCCCTATTTCCATTACTAGAAGCTGAGGGGCACAGAACTGCTATAGTTTACTACTAGTTGGATAGGAACTACTCGTTACTACATGTATATTCTGACTAGACCCGAAAAGACGTTAAGTAATAGGAGTTGCTTTAAAAAAATGCTGAGAAAAACTACCTAATATAATTAATTTTCATGAGATGATCAAATACAAACTGATATACTTCTATATAAGTATTTTCGTATGAGAATAAGGCCTCCAAACATTCGATAAAAGAAGCGATATGAAATCTAGGCACGTTAAAATAACTTTTATAATGTTACTAAGATACTAATAAATGTTTTTCATGATCACTAAAAAATCGATTACTTACTTTGAGAAAGCATTTTTTTATAAGCAATTAAAATAAGGTATTGATATTTATTTCAGGTAAAAGACATACTATCCTGTTTCCAAATTCAACATCTTCAAGTGGCGAAATTCCTTACTACTCTAACTCAAAACATAGATCTGACGACGAACCAAAGCTATCGTGTTGTATTCTCATGCTGGATATTATTTTAAAACAAGTAAGTCTATTTTTCATTCGTATAAAGAGAAGTCAGCAGTTTTTCAAAATGTATGTAAAGTTCTATTGTGTTTTTTTTCAATTAGAATTTCGGTTCGTTGTGATGCACTTTCTATTATATCTTTGAAGATATTAAATCTTCCCTTAATGGTCAAATGATATGCATAAGATAAAAAGAGTGAATGCAGACACAAAAAAATGAGAGTACAGCATCTATTAAAAACAAGATTGTTGACTAAAAGTTCTAAGCCTACTTTTCAGAGCTAAAAAGGCTACTTTTCAAATAATTAAGCAAAAAAATTGTTTCTAAATTGATTTAAAAAGAAGGTAACTTGATACATAATACAACCATAAGGTTACTTTGAAAAAAAATTGTTTTCTCCATATTTTGAGTAAGTTACACTAATTTTTAGGTATCTTGCACAAATAAATATAAAAAAATTATTTTAGCACTTATAAAAGGTATGACAGTTAGAAGAACTTGTCTCACTTAAGTAAGTTTATCTAATTCAATTAATGATGTAAGCTTTGCTAACTCGATTTTGTTACAACGTTAAAATCACCTTAAAATTCTAATATAATAATATACAAATTAATTTGTAACAAACACTATCTCAATATAAGATTTCTAATCTTTATTTGTTATGTGTAATTATGATTTCCTATTTAAGTACAGTTTTAATTTATTTTTACCTAACTCAGAAGATGATTATGTTCTAAGTTTGGTATTATAATTAGACATTGGGTACGTATTAAAATTCATTCATATGGGCTGTTTCAGTTTAGCTGTCCTTGAGATCGACTTTTACATTTGAATCGCTCAACACTTCCATTATTTCGTAGTGGCCAGAGTAGTGGTCATCAAATTTTCCTCTTTTTGGCTCTTTTAAAAGTAAGACTACATCTCCTATATTTAAATTTTTCACGTTTGCCCTTTGACCATAATATAACTTGGACTTCTCCTTGGCCTCCATAAGCTTTTCCTTGGCCGTGTGTTGTGCATAATTTAACTTACTTTATAATTTATTTAAATAATTTGCTTAAGTTTTTTCTTTTATCTCGCCCTACAATTCCGAGAAGAGCTGTGCTCTTTGTGCCGAAATATAAGCTCCTAAGGGTAAACCAGTGGCCAGAGTGAATAGACGTATTGTATGTAAATGGCGCAAACTTACCACGTATCCCAGTCACTTGAATCTGTATGCGTTTTTAAATACTTTACCAATGAGTAATTGCTTTTTTTAATGCAAACTATGGACTGTGGTTAAAAAGCAGTTGATTTAAATTGATTGATTCTAAAAAGTTTTGTAATACGTTTCAACAATTAACTCTGAAAGTTAGATCCTCAATCAGTTTTTATGATACTTGGGCAGCTAAATCGGCAAATAAATTTCAAGGTAAAGTGAGTGGCCACTTTTTTGGCTGTTGCGTCAGGCCAAGAAAGGGCGTCGAAGTATTTAGTCAGGTTACATTGGATCGTTAATATATGTTGATTACCAATGCGGTGGTGGGGAGTGTACCTTCTATGTCCATTTCAATCTCTTTAAAGGCTTTCTTAGTAATAGTAGTAATAGTCATGAAGAGTTTTGTTTTTACGTAAACTAATTTTTTTTTTTAGCACTCTATGCATGTTGGTACGTACTCCAATATATCCTCTTTTGTCCTGTCGCAAAAATATTTATTAATGTCTAGTTCATTTCTTACCTTGCCAAAGCTTACCGTTGCAATTTATAATTTTATTAAGGGGTCTTGTAGTCGATTTAAACAATCTTTAACAGATACGATGGGAGGTATATCTACAGCCTAATGCTTACAAAGAGTAAAAAAATTAATCGACCGTAATCTAGCTCTGTCACAAAAATAGCTATATTATCCCTTCTCATTAATAGTTGGTCTTTTAAAAAGATGACTTGAAAACTGCAGGTGTTACAATAGGGTTTATAAGCTGGTCTTTGGTGCATCGTTTAAGTCGATCGGCACCTGATGAAAGACAGAGGCCAGGTCAATAGTAGATAAAAATTAACAAATATTTGAGATAAATTAGGAGGCTCAAAACCAAAGATCACCTAAAAAACTCCATTGTAACACCAGCAGTTTTCAAGTTATCTTTTTAAAAGACCAACTATTAATGAGAAAGGATAATAAAGCTATTTTAATGACAGAGCTAGATTACGGTCAATTAATTTTTTTACTCTTTGTAAGCATAAGGCTGTAGATACACCATTTATCGTATCTGTTAAAAATTGTTTAAACTGACTATAAGACGCATTGATAAAATAAAGAATTGCAACGGTAATCTTTGGAAAGGTAATAAATGAACGAGACAAACTGCATTGGCTACCTATAAAATACAGGTTAAAAAATTACCGAAATCAAGATGACCTAAGACTGACCATATATACCAGTAAAGTTACCGTTACGCTGTATGACAACAGACCAGGGATAATAAGTAAGGCTCATGACTCTTTTATTGGAGAATATAAGGAAATATTAAAATTATAAAATAGCATCGCGAATAAATATTTCTGCAACAGAATAAAAGAGGATATATTGGAGTACGTACCAACATTCATAGAGTGTTAAGAAAAAATTAGTTTACGTAAAAACAAAACTCTCCATGACTATTACTACTATTACCGAGGAAGCCTTTAAAGAGATTAAAATGGACATAAAAGGTACACTCCCTATCACCGCATTGGTAATCAACATATATTAACGATCCAATGTAACCTGACTAAATACTTCGACGCCCTTTCTTGGCCTGACGCAACAGCCAAAAAAGTGGCCACTCACTTAACCTTGAAATTTATTAGCCGATTCCACTGCCCAAGTATCATAAAAACTGATTGAGGATCTAACTTTTAGAGTTAATTGTTGAAACGTATTACAAAACTTTTTAGAATCAATCAATTGAAATCAACTGCTTTTTGACCACAGTCCATGGGTTGCATTAAAAAAAGCAACTACTGATTGGTAGAGTACATAAAAACGTATACGGATTCAAGTGACTGGGATACGTGGTAAATTTGCGCTATTAACATACAATACGTCTATTTACTCTGACCACTGGTTTACCCTTAGGAGCTTACATTTCGGCATAAAGAGCACAGCTCTCTTCGAAATTGGAGGGCGAAATAAAAGAAAAAACTCACGAAAATTATTTAGATAAATTATAGAGTAAGTTAAATTATACACAACACACGGCCAAGGAAAAGCTCATGGAGACCAAGGAGAAGTCCAAGTTGTATTATGATCAAAGGGAAAACGTGAAAAATTTAAATATAGGAGATGAAGTCTTACTTTTAAAAGAGCCAAAAAGAGGAAAAATTGATGACCACTACTCCGGCCACTACGAAACATTGGTCGTGTTGAGCGACTAAAATGTAAAAATAGATCTCAAGGATAGCTAAACTGAAACAGCCCATACGAATGAATTTAAATACGTACCTAATGTCTAATTATAATACCAAACTAAGAACATAAGTATCTTCTGAGTTAGGTAAAAATAAATTAAAACTGTACTTAAATAGAAAATCACAATTATACATAACAAATGAAGATTAGAAATTTTATATTAAGATAGTGTTTGTTACAAATTAATTTGAATATTATTATATTAGAATTTTAAGGTGATGTTAACGTAGTCACGAAATACAGTTAGCAAAGCATACATCATCTATTGAGTTAGACGAACTTTTTCACAATAAATTAAATTACGCGCATATTTGTGCATCTAATTAACTATAATTAAGTTCTGTAATCGTGTACCTGTTAAAATTAATTTAATAAATGAACAAAAAAGAAGTTGAGAGGTCAAGGAGGACAAAAGAAAGTAGTCGTTATCTATTGGGTGAGGTATAAAAACTACAGCGATTTTGCCTTCTTTGACAAAATATAAATATACACATGCTTGTCATTTAGACCAGATACATAATAATTTTAAATTCGATTAACTATTTATTAAAATCATTGCAAGTTAACAGAATTGTGGTAACAGGGTTTTTTTTTCTTTAAATAAAAAAAGGGGGAGTGTGTTGGAACAAAACGGAAAGGAAGATGTATGTGTTGGTATGTATATATAAAAATAGAAATGGTGAAATATAATGTAATCACTTTGCATATGCAAAAGTTGAGTCTCAGATAGGACTTTTCCTTAATGCCTCATAGCCTGCCAGACTTTTAGAACTGGTACATGGTGTAAGTGGGCTTCCAAAAAAGTAGCTCAATTATAACAAACTTTTTCCATAAGGTGTACAAGTTTAAATGAGGAAACCCTTCTTTAGATAAGTCAGGTTATTGAGCAGCTTACACGTTTGGATTCCATCAAAGGCAATAATATGTTTTCCTTCCCTAGAAGTGATATATAGGTCATTTTTAATGCATAAAATGAGATAGAAAGCAGCGTAGGTGCATTCAACACAACCAGTTGCTTTAATAATGCAGTCAATTATTATAATTTTAAAAAAAAAGAGGAGAAAAAGAAATTTAAATTCAAACATACAAGCCTAGCTCTTTAAAGTCGCCATTAAAAAAAAAAAAAAAATGTAGGGGCAAACACTTCTAATTATGGAAAATAAGCATGCCCATTTTAATTGTCCTATTTATACTTAAATTATGTTAACTTAAGATATACTCTTGTACGAACGTTCTTTTACTACTTATTGGCTTTGATAATATGCATATATTGCCATCTGGTTAATGTTTCTGAAGACAACGAACTTGAAATCAAGTTCATATATGTATTTCTAAGGACAGAGAAAAGTCAGGCTTCTTGACCCACAAATTTCACTGTTTAATTAAGATAAAGTGAGTCACTAAGACTTCAACAATACCTTTTGCTTATTTTAACACCTCAAAGCCTTATAAGGCTTATTGAATTTATCACCATCATTTGGAAAACTTAATGGAACTCCAACAGCTTGACAACTGGCCAGCACCAGAGCAGTTATCACAAATATTGGTTCCTGCAGAAATGGACCAAGCAGCTTATGCCACCGTTGACCA